GCTTGTGGTAACTATTCGTAATAATTGTTGTTGTAAATTGTACTGTTGTATATATATTAAAACGTTTTTGTGTGAAAAACGAAGACGGTGTGTGTCAATTTTGTTGGCAAATAGTGTAAATTAACTACAATATCGGCGGACTATATTAAATTCTCAATACGTAACAATAACATGCACAACTTGGTATGAAATATCGATAATATGATAGGTATATCGAACTTGGTTTGAAATACTGATGATGTGAGTGAAATATTGAACTTGGTGTGAAATAGTGACCATGTAAATTACATACCGAACTTGGTGGGAAATATCGATTCATCATTCACAGTTTTCTGTATGAACGTCATCACGTAGTCTACATATAGCGGAGCTGCTACCGTGCATTGTTTATCCTTTTCGTCGAACCATAAATATTGTCTAGAACATTAAAGTCCATTTGTAAATACACTCTAGATTTCACGGTAGAAAATGACTTACACAAAAACAAATTCAGGAGAAATATGATTTCCTAGACTCGACTATTAAAAGAAATTTAGTATGTCTTATAAATGATAAATTAAACATTTTACGATCGTAACACTTTGCTTTTGAGAAGAACTGAACAAAGTGGTGTGACATTACAGAAAGACCTACCTGTTATAATGCCCCGTCATATCCAGACAACCAGACACTGTACAGAATTCGGACACTGTTCCATAGATTAAATTCACATTATCAAAGAACGCCAGTGCTGAAAGAAAGTTCCAAACATTTAGACTAATCTCTTGGACATCTTCTTCATCAAAACTTCTGTTTCAAGATAACTTTAAGAAATATTACAACAAATGGCGTGGTTTTTGGAAAGATGTTTGTCTGGAAATAGAAGTCGGTAAAATAAAGAAAAAATACTTTCACATCTATTAAAAATTAGAAAGGGGTTTGGTTTTGCTAAACGCAAAGCTATACAATATGCTATCCGTGCTCTGTTCACCATGGGTATCGAAACTTGAATTTTAGCGTCGTAAGCCTGCGGACTTACCGCTGAGCCACTTGGGGTGATTACTGTTTGTTTTGTTGCTACACATTGGGATATCTGTGCTCGAAACCCGAATTTTAGCATCACAAGTTTGCAGACTTACTACTGAGCCACTAGGAGGGGACGGGGCAATTACAAAGAGAAAAAAAACAATGCTGATACATTTTCACACACATAAATAACTTTATTTTTCAAAAACTTCCTAATCATTTAACACCAGCTTGAATAAACAAAAACACTTTCAATAAAAAACAAAATTACTATAATAATTACACATTATTTTCTATTTTATACTACATTTTACAGCAAAAATTCATTCAGGAATTAAAAACAATTAGCTAACGTGCCACGAACGGGGAAACAATTGAGCCCCTGGGTGAAGACATGACATCATTATGTCACTCCCCAGGGAGTCCACAAGGTTTGGTGACAATCGGACCAGCGGCTCGCCAGTTATAAATGGATGCACAGAAACTTTTGTCAAATAAATTTAAAGTATACTCTAACGTCTTAAAAGGCAGTTTACCTTCCTATTCGTTCTTCCTTCTATTTATAAGTTTTTTAATTATGCGCAAGTCTACACAGGGGGCTATCTATGCTGTGCCCTTGTATGGATCGAGCTCTAAATTTTAGCGCTATAAGACTTCAAGCTTATCATAGAGCAGGGACGGGCCGGTTTTATGAAATACAAAAGCTAATGATTTTGTATCTTCTCAACTGTTATTGGGAAACAACTTTACATAAAAGCAATGTATTAACCTGATCCAAATTATATAAAAAATAATAGAGAAAACTATTTAATTTAGAATTTTTCTTTTGAAAATTCAATCAATATTCAGTTCTAGTGAGGGTAACTCACCTATTGAATGAACCAACTAAAATACTCACTGTTAAAAGCCAGCCATTCATTGTAGTCCAACCCTGGCGGTAGTTCAGCCAGTTCTCGCAGTTGTGCTACTGGAACTGTACATTTAAGTACCTTATAGTTTAAATACAATTTGGACACATCTTCAGAGGGCGCCACTGCATTTTTGTCCTTCCGACGTGTTTTTCTATTATTCAGTAAAAGTTTTTCTCAAGTAAAATATTGTAATACTAGAAAAATATATTTCAACTTAAAAGAACTTTGATTCTACATATAATAATAATTTATACTTCAATAAAACATATTTCAAGTTGTAAACAAATAATTTCACCATTGAAAAACAAATCTGTGTAATCAGTTATTCAAACAAATAATAATTTCAAGAAGGTTTTCTACACTACTTATGATGGAACATAACTTTAGATTTTATAAAAAAAGATAGCGGTACACTCTAAGTTCAATTCTTATGCTATTGGAAGTAACTATGTTAGCTCCCTCCCCCCTTCAAAAGGATTAAATATTTTTTTTAGGATTTATCTAAAAACATACAAAAACGTACAGCATCTCAACGTTTTAATTACATAACTATTCTTTTTTCCCAACTATCTATCCCCATGGCCTGGCATTAATACTGACAAACTTTATAGAAGATATTTCTAATATCTCTACGTCACTACATGCAGCTCAGAAGCCTAAAATCCTCTATACAAACAGAATTTACACAAATGTTGTAATTGTTATTTTCAACGGCATACAATGAAATACCCTTACCCTGAAACTGGTTGCATTAGAGCCCAGATGAATGGTATAAATATTTTTAAAAATTATTTTTATTTTCCAAGAAACCTCATAGAGAATAAAAAGGTACATATAATGATCACGCGCAAAAACAAATCAATTCATAAACTTTTCGTGCATGCGACAATAACACGACAAAATTGGAAATATAACCACTATAGCCATCATCGATAATTCGGAAAAAAAAAACAGGATGAGTAACGTCTGTTAATGTCATCACAACTCAGTAAACGCAACATCTAAAGAACCAATAGGCACAGAAAAAGAAAAACTTTCCTTTAAATTAAACAATTTGTAATTATTTAAGTTGAATCCAATACACAACAGGTGGCGCTACGAGTCTTTATGTGTTGCAACCGCCAAGAACGAGAACTCGAATAAATGGCAAGAAGTGTAAGAATGATAGTTTATTGTTATTTTTAAAGTTGAAGTCCCTAATTTAGCAGCGATAAACTAGAGGGCAGACAGCTGGTCAACATCATACAGCGACAAACCTTGATCGTCACGTTATAACGCCCCTGTGGCTGAAAGGGCAAGCATGTCTTGTGAAGGGGTTCAAACCCATGACTCGCAAATTGCAAGTCGATCGCCCTAACCACCAGGCTACGCCAGGCTTAAAATAACTAATATTACAAATAATATTATCATTGAAATTACCTAAAACAATTTAAAGAAATTCAATAAAATATTTTGTCACAAAGTAACTTAACAGAAAAGAAATACGTCTTAAAAGTTACGTTTTTCATTTTTATTCCTGTAAACAACAACCAAACAAAATGACTTATCTTGAACAAAGAATGAAAAAAAGAGACCTCAATGGATTTTGCAAACAGACGAAAAACTGTTTACTTACATTTCACATAAATATCCTGTCATCCATTGCGGTTTACATTAAAATTGGGCTTTGCTTCGATACTGAATAAAGTGTATCTTTATTCACAAAACAAGGTTTACAGGATCATTCGGACAACAAGTACCTTTCAAAGTCCTATTGTTTCCCGATACATATAAACAGCGGCCATTCTTTTGTTTATTGATATGTACAAGACGACACATAACCATTGCTAAGGGCTTACAAGATAGCACATAAACCATCGCGAAGAGCTTACAAGACGACACATAAACCATCGTTACGAGTTTACAAGACGACGCATAAATCATCACTATGGGCTTACAAGACGACACATAAACCATCTTATGGACTTAAAAGACGACACGTAAATTATTGTTATTGGCGATTCATTTTAGTTCATGTAAAAACACAGGGTCCTAAATACTTCAACATACTATGGGGAGGGACTGACTAACACCTTACAGTTCATCTAAAAACACAGTTCTAAATACTTAAACAGAGTGTGTGGTGAGACTGACTAACATCTTACAGTTCGTGTAAAACACATGATTCTCAATACTTCAACAGACTGTGGGGAGAGACTGACTAACATCTTACAGTTCATGTAAAAACACAGTTTTAAACACTACAACAGACTGTGGGGAGAGACTGACTAACATCTTACACTTAACGTAAAACCACACGGTTCTCAATACTTAAACAGAGTGTGTGGAGAGACTTACTAACATCTTACAGTTCGTGTAAAACACATGATTCTCAATACTTCAACAGACTGTGGGGAGAGACTGACTAACATCTTACAGTTCATGTAAAAACACAGTTTTAAACACTACAACAGACTGTGGGAAGGGACTGAATAACATCTTACACTTAACATAAAACCACACGGTTCTCAATACTTCAACAGACTGTGGGGAGAGGCTGACTATCTTATTCACATTAAGCGTTTTGTTGAAGGATTTTATAAGTAAGTTACGTGGACGTTTTCTCAGATCGGATTGTTAATCAAAATGTCAAGCTTTATGCCAATTGAAAGTAACGTTTATTTGTTCGAAATCAAGTGATATTAAAGATTACTATTGTTTTTGATTGGTACGTAGGTTCAGCTTGAACTTTCATTACACATCAACTTCACCGATGCTTTTCTCCTTAAAAGGGCTCTATTGTTGTTATTTCTGTTGAAAAATCGTTACTGTATTCAGTATGGAAAAATCTTATGTTGATCTGCAACTACAGGCTGTCCAGCTCAGATGAATGGCTGAATTCAGACAGACTGAGGTGCGACATCAGTACAGTTTCTATTTTTCTACGCTGTTAATTGATTAGAACTCTGCCACAAGCATCAGGTTTGCTTTCTCTATTTTTCAGTAAAAATCTTGTTTTGGTACCCACTTTGATATCACTTAAGGACCAAAACCAGACAGTGATATCAGTGAGGATCGAAACCAGATAGTGATTTTAGTGAGGATCGAAACCAAACTGGATATCACTGTATGGTTTTAGGTGGACAAAGGAATGTGACCAAACACTGCAGTTGCAATATACATTTTTGGTAAAGCTCTGGTGTTGAAACATCTTGTCAAATACAAATTCGAGAAATAGTGTTATCACAGTGGTAGGATGAAATGAAATACATGCTCACACACACACTAAGTGGACACTGACTGCCCCTGAATGTAAATACTGAATAACAAACAAATAATTGCTTGCAGCTGTGGGTTTCCTCAAGTAATACCTGTATGGTAGAAATGAAGTGACAACAGAACTTTTAAATCCAGAAGGAACAGTTTCTAACTGGATCATAATGTTACAAGAGTATGACTTTACCATACTACAATGTTAAAGTCTGCAACAGACAGTCTTGCACCACATAGATTGCACCCTGTCTGTTCATTGGTTACCTTGAATTTGGACAGTATGTGGAAGTGAAAGGAATTTCTGCCATAGTGACGTCAAACCGTACGGTAGAAGATGCGAGTTCCAAGTTTACATCTGTTTAAAAACAACCTCTATACATACAAGTATGTGTAAATTTTACATATAACTTTAGTTAAGTTCCTTTAACCCTAGTTACCTATTGCCCTGGATTATTCACCTTGGTGTCATGTGCACTCTCTCGTAGGAAAATTTCCTGTAAAATAAGTCATACTTTGGGAAAGTAGACTATTATCGTTTTCACAAGCAGGTAAGGTGACAGCTTAAATATACACCCTCCCTTATTTTTAGATGGAAATTTTCAACAGTGATGTGGATGTTTTATGTATATAATGATATTGTTTCTCAATCTATAACTGGTTTTCACTTCTTCCAGTACATATGTCGTTCTTTGTAAATACATTCATTCTCGTTTTTTGTGAAACAAATATTGTTTTCACTGTATTCTATATACTGTCCAGATTCTTTCTTTCTTTCACAACACATATTTTCTGCTAGAACATCTTCTTATTCAGTGGATCCTCCCCAATTACTGTCAAGGGAAATTGGTGTACATGAGAAAGCCATACTACTGCTAACAATAGAAACAATCAAGGTAGAAAGTCTGAACTCTTTAAAAGTAATGTTCAGTAATTCGAGGAATGTTTATTATATTATACACGATAATTAAGGTGAGATGTTGCCAAAGTCCCAGCTGTAAGTAAGTACAGATGTGAATATGAATTATAATACAGTAAAATAATATTAGCATGAAGTGGCCTCAATGGCTGTGTAACTGCACAAAAACCACTGATTAATAAAATCAAAAAGAGGAAATGAGCATTGTTTTTCAAACAATGGGATGAACAAAGCTAGAAGATGGTACTTTTTACAAATGAATCTACATTCATGTGGTAACAATTAATCAGTGGTTTGTTTAATTGTAGAGCGGAGAAAGCTATCAGGGTCAATGTACAACATCTACAATAAAGCATGCTGGGAAACCAATACAAGTGTGTCTAAGCCTTAGAGATATAAACCAAACTGATGGTACCCCGAATGCTGATAAGTACAACACATAATTATTCATTACGTCATTCCCACAGTAACAAAATATCTTGGGCAGGGATTTATCATTTAGCAAGATAGTGGTTTCAAGCATATAGAAATGTGGCAAAATAATACCTCGAAGTAAAGAGGCTGATGGAACATTTGCAACTGCAGATTGAACTGCACAAAATCATAACATGAATATTATTAAGGCTGTATGGGCTTATATACAGAGAATGTGTGTGTGTTTTGTTGTAGCAAAGCCACGTCAGGCGATCTGTTGTTTCCATGGAGTTGAATCAAATCCCTAATTTTAGCATTCTAAATCCAAAGGTTTACTGTTGTCCCACCGGGGGACACTTATATAAAAACTGAAAATCAACTTGGCTGAATAGTTGGGAGTAATACAGGACATGTGGAACAACATTTCACAGTCATTCAATGACAAAGTTAAGATATTATAAAAACAAAGTGTACTACTCTATTCAAAGCAAACACAGGATTCTAATGCATCGTACAACGTATTACGTTATTATACTTTCTGTAATAATGTACTATACTTGTGATAAACTGACCGTTCATTGCAATTACACA